GAACACCCGAACGACCGAACGCATCCCCAAGGGGTCCCGTACGTTCGGGCGTTCGGGTTCGGGCGTTCGGCCTGTCCCGAACGCCGGTTACCCTGTATATATAATGTCACAAAGTTGTCAGAGTGCAAAAGCGAAAAGAAAACAGAAAGAAAACAAAGAAAAATAAATTCGTTTTTTAAGTCTTCTTCCTTACAACTCCCCCTGTTCAGAGCCTCTTGCGTACAAGGCCGCCCACGTGGATGTATATATATATATACATATATACAGGGTAACCGGCGTTCGGGACGGGCCAAACGCCCGAACCCGAACGCCCGAACGTATGGGACCCCTTGGGGATGTGTTCGGCCGTTCGGGCCAAACGCGGACCCAAAAAAAAAAAGAAAACAAAAACAAAAAAAAAAGTCATCAAAAAAATCTGAACAAAAGATATGTTATGGAGAAAAATAAATTAAATAAGATTTGCCTGAGCATTACATCCGAATTCCTTACCAAATTTGAAATAAAAATAAAATACGGAGAACAAATACTAATAATAAAATAAATAAAAATGAAAAGAGAATTAAATTTAGTGAGTGCGCGAGCATGTTTTCGACACCGCCATCTTTGGCGATTTTTCTTTTTTTTTTGGCATAGCTAAATGCCCTGAAAATTTACAGATGTGTACTTCAGATAATACAAAACCCACTAAAAAAAGTTTCAAAAAATAATAAAATTGTTTAGACCCCGAACTAAAGTGAAAACAAAAAGTACAAAGTGAAACAATACGYGGGCGAGCACGTTTTGACACCGCCATCTTTGGCGATTTTTAATTCTTGTTTGGCTTAGCCAAATGACTTGAAAATAAACAGGCACGTACCTCACGTCATAAAGAACTCACAAAAATAAATTCAGAAAAAAATAATTATTTTTAGGCCCTGAAATAATTTTTGCCGGGGGCTGAACGCCATCGGGTTCGGACCCTGAACGCCCGTACGTACGGAGGTCTGCCCGGGGACCTCCGTACGTACGGGCTGGTGACCCTGCATATATATATACACACACATATATATATATATACAGGGTTACCTGACCGAACGTTCGGGCGTTCGAGGTCCCGTTCGGGGGCCGAACACCTCCAGGTTCGTCCCCCGCCAAAAAATATTTCGGGGCCTAAAAATACGTTTTTGTTTTCTGAATTTTTTTTTTCTGAGTTCTCTATGATGTAACCTACACGCCTATAAATTTTGAAGCCATTCTGCTAAGCCAAAAAAACATTAAAAATCGTCAAAGATGGGTGTGTCAAAACGTGCTCGCCCACTCACTATTTTGTTTTTTTTTACTTTTAACTTTTTGTTTTCACTTTATTTCGGGGCCTAAACAATTTTATTATTTTTTGAAAATTTTATAATGAGTTATTGATTATGTAAACTACACATCTGTAAATTTTCAGGGCATTTGTCAATGCCAAAAA